TATAAAAAAACATTTCCAGACACGTTCAGTACAGTAATGTTACTTCCTACTGTCTTACTGTTACACTGACATTGTTCAGTCTAGTTCACCGTTTTCATTATCATATTATACATTCACCTATGTTGACATTGCTGATTGTGAAAGATACACGAATAGTTAGTGAAATGCCTTATGCTAGATAGCATCACATGTCGGCTAAATGCAGTCAATGTAACGTTATCATGGTACGAGCATGGAGCATTAGTTCAACGTCAAGCTGATAAAAGTAGCTTATTATTGTAACGTTGCAGTGGGAGTTTACATGAGTTTCCAGCATGTTGTGTGATGCTTTCGCCGTTGCGTTGAAAGTCTCCGTGTGGCCGGTAGTGAATGCTCGCTCCTGAGATCGCACACGCACATAAGCACGAGCGCTCTTGTTTCAATCTGAAACATCACCACTAGAGGCCGCTAAAAAATACATAGAGCACCTTAAAAAAAAAAAAAAGAACAGCATTTATTTAAAATATAAATACACTACCATTCAAAAGTTTAGGGTCAGTAATTTTTTTTTTTTTTTTAAGAAATTAATACTTTTATTAGTCATGTGTTAAATTAATAAAAAGTGATAGTAAAGATTTATATTGTTAGAAACGCACTATATATACTGTGTGTGTGTATATATATATATATATATATTAGTGCATTTCTAGTTAAATGTCATCCCCTTTTAAAGTTTATAAGTGTGAAGCTTTGCATAGCCTTGAGTTAAAAGGGGCCTTAACTCAGGGTCAATTAAAGGTTTTAACTCAGGGTTAAGCATGTATGAGTAGTCACAGGTGTTGCCTGAAGCGCTTATCTGATAAGTGCAAATTTGTCCTGACAAAATGCATCCAGTAGTCATTCACACAGACAAATGCTGGCACCTTTAGGAGATCTGGCTGAATATAATGAAGCCTTGAAGCAAGATGTTGTCGCGCTAAGAGGAAGGACTGATACTTTAGTGTCTCTAATCTTGTTTTTTTTCATCAGCACCAAAGCCACATATGGGGAAATCAAGTTAATTGGCAAGATTTTATCATCTTAAAAACAATCTCCTCTTCTTTGGCAAGAAAAGAAAAAGTCAACGTTTGCACATGTGTTCAGAAGGCCACTATCATTTAGATTGTCTAAACGTGATTTTCCTGACATTGATGGTTAGGGCCGGTGTGGTGAAGTGCTGAGTCTCAGCGAACTGATGAGTCCCAGCTTAGGACGCCAGAATGCCTGATCTAAAGCTGTTCTCGCGATTCTTAATGTAATCAAACTTTAACTCATGTAATAATGTTTTATTTTTATCCTGATTATTTATATAGTTAAAGTGAAAGAAATTGAATTTTTAGGTATGTTTTGCGACATTGTTAATTGTTATTAAGCACTAAGGCATAATATAATTGTTTTTTTAATTACAAGAAGCATGTCATAATTAATTCTTAAACAGAATTATGCTTGTATCATATTTGTTATCGAAGTTTTTATAGATGGTGAAAAAAACGTTACTTCTAATCATTTCGGATTGCTGTATGCTCTGCTACTAAGCTAACTAAAATACACTAAGAACGAGAAATGTTTAATTTCACAATATATGGCTTCGGTTATATACTAGGCTATATGGAACATAAGTTAAAATACATTAATGGTCATTATAACGTAGTTCAAACGACTTATATAATAAAGTGATATCTGATTTGTAACCAGGCACTAAAGCGATTACCCATAAAACGTGCTTTGAACCAATCGGTTCAAATTGCTTGGGTCCTAAACTGGGACTCATCCTTCTTTTACTGTCTATGGACTGACCTATGCTTACTGTTTATGCATAGGCATATAGGCACGTCCATGGAGGGCCCATGTTACAATGAGGAGAAATAAATAGTCTTATTATTTCACTCTAATGCTAAAACTATGTAACACAATTACTTTATAAATTAATACAATTTAAAAATCGTAATTTTAACATAAATGGTCACCCTTTACGTCTGTCTGTGGGTTTTGCTCATATTTAAAGGGATAGCATAGTTCACCCCAAAATGAAAATTCTGTCAGTATTTACTCACCCTCATGTTGTTCCAACCCCGTAAGACTTTCGTTCATCTTCGGAACACAAATTAAGATATTTGTGATTAAATCTGAGAGCTGGATCACTCCTCCATAGGCTTCTTAAGGGATTGAAACTGGCCGGCCCAGAAAAGTTTTTAAAGACATCGTTAAAATAGTCCGAGTGACTACAGTGACTCAATCTTAAGTTTATCAAGCGACAAGAATACTTTTTGTGATTAGAGGCCTATGGAGGAGTGATCCATCTCTCAGATTTAATCAAAAATATCTTCATTTGTGTTCCGAAGATGAACGAAAGTCTTACGGGGTTGGAACAACATGAGGTGAGTCATTACTGACAGAATGTTCATTTTGGGGTGAACTAACCCTTTAACCAATGAGAAGTATTAGAAAGAGCTTGTGACCAAATCTCGTAACTCCATTGGCTCCTCAAACTGTCCGTCAAACCTCATACCTCCGCCCCATCTCAAGAAGTGTCACAAGCCGTTAGGAGCATCTCTGCTTATTTACGATACCGGGGTAAATAAAGAAAGGTTTATTTGAATAAGTACAGCGTTTTCTTTACTTAATATAGGCTATATAAAAGGTCATCTTTTATGTATTTGAGTAGCGGTGAAGAGCGTCTTGCGTCCTAACAGCAAAAATAGCCTGTGCGTATAGCGCTTCATTATAATGTGAGATTTTGGCCGAATGACAGAAAAAAAGAAAAGAAAAAAAAAAACAGACAAAAACGACCGGCCACATAGCTTCACTAATCTTCATAATCTTTAAGCTGATGAAAATGTGATGTCTAGGTCTAGTTCTAATGAACGACATTCACTGGACAAATGTCAATCGTAAGGGGGCAGAAAGAGGTGTCAGACAGTCATTCAGTGATAAACTCCTATACGGCAGAGTTGAAAAACTTTATGATTTAAATTCGGAATAAATTATACACAGAAAGTGAATAAAGCACCAATACTAGACTAATAAGCACTTTTACTTTCCATAAATCAATTGATCTTTAATTTAATATTGAAGTAGGCTAATTGAGTTACAATAAGGTCTCATTTGTTAACATTAATGTATTGACTGACTAACAATGAGCAATTTGTTACAGTATTGATTAATCTTTGTTAATAAAAATAGTCATTCATAGTTTGTTCATGTTAATTCACAGTGCATTAGCTAAGGTTGAGAAATACAACTTTTGATTTTAATAATGTATTAGTAAATGCTGAAATTAACAAACTAAGATTAATAAATGCTGTAGAAATATTGTTCACTCTTAGTTCATGTTAACTAAAGTGTGAAACCTTATTGTAAAGTGTTACCTAATATTTTAATATATAATAATACATTTCAGTTAACAGTGTAATCAATACTGTTTAAAAAAAAATAAAGATAACAATAAAACTTTCAGTATTGGTTTCAGGAGATAAGAGTTTATTCAGAATTCAAATCTTGATATTTTCATAATGAATGTGTATGTGAGGGGTTAACATTTAGTTTGGGGTAATCTGAATTAACAGTAACTCTTTTCTATTTCCAGCATCATGAATGTTGTGCTCTCAGAGAAGGTGTATTTATTAGAAGAGTTTGAAATTTATATGTAAATTTAATTAAAGAACGAGATGTCAGAATCCGAAACATGACGTGATCTTCCTTTTTTTAAAATGAAAAACAGGAAATGGATCACTTTCACAAGCTTTGGATGTAAAAAAACAAGTTCTGTGCCAAAAGGTGAACGGCTACCATTTAGCATCTGACTGACGTTTTTCTTTTTTTACATCCTACGCAGCAATTAAATTAATATCTGGTAAGATTGTGGGAATCGGAGCTCTCTTGGGAACAGTGGAATGGGACGCTCCCCCATTTCCTCTCATCTACAGCCATAGTGTCAGATTGAGAGGAAGATTTACAGGAACAAATATGCCAGCAGTCGTGTATTTCCAGAACACAGCCTTAATCACAAAACTCTTAAATATTTATTGCAGGAAATGTGGAACTGAGAATAACACAGTCGTTCAGAGAAGGGATGTTGTGCTTCTCCTCGCGGTTTCAGTGAAAACTTGTTTTGTCTTGAAATCATGTCCTTTTGACAGTTCCAGACACTATGCTACAAAAAATCTTTGCTTTGTCTTGTTTTCAGCATCTACTCCCTGAAATCATATGGTTATTATTATACACAGTGCTGTTATTGTGTGTTTGTTTTTTTAATACGAAATAATTTGTAGACTACAATAGTCTGAGACTTTTGCCAACTTCAGCATGGGAAAATAAGGGACACTCCATTTCCCCATATCACATATACCATTTGAAATGGAAAGAAATTACTGGCGACAGGTGACGAGTGACCACACAAAAATAACATGGTACAGTCACAGTGTGTGTCTGCAGGCTATAAAGATGAAATGCAAAAATCTTTCATTTTTCACAAAAAAACTTCATTTGGTAAATTTTAAAACTTAAGTGTCAGACACCATTATGCACACATCAATTTGGCTTTCATAGGCAAAAACTCTATAGGCAAATTATAATACTAGAGAATTGTGACTGTAAATCAAGTCAATATATACATATATTGTAATGAATTGTCCTGTGACATGACTTATTTCTATGGCACATTTAAAAGCTATTTGATTCCTAACAGATTTGACACTTCATTATATCTAAAAAATTAGACTTGGCACTCATTTTACAAGTCCAACAATCACAATTTGTTTTCCATTCTGATCTGTCATTTTAATCTTTGACATTGGGGTTTCAATTAAATGCTAAAGTGTTCTCAGCTGTTTGGGTGCAAGGCACGATTGGATATAATACTGGATGCAATTATGTTCCTGTATAATATGTGACTGTTGGCAACCCTAGAAAGGAGGTCTTGCGAGTGTTTTGTTTATCCCCTACTGTTCTAATCTCTCTCTCTCTCTCTCTCCCCTACTCAGATCTGTGGCTTCGTGAACGCTATTAGTCCGGTTGGGAATGATCAGCAGAATCTAATGGCTTTCCGCTTCTCTGCATTTAACCCCATCTTGGATCCCTGGATCTTCATCATCTTCCGTAAGGCGGTCTTTAACCACTTACGGGAATTATTGCACTGCTGCTTCCCCAGAGATGCGGTGAAGACCACAGCTCAAAGCTCTCTGTCCTTCCCCCTGGAGGCTGGAAACGTCAAACAAAGCTCCAGCATCAAGAGCCAGATCTACCGCAGCCTCCCTCAGTGAGGTCTTGATGATGAACGACACTGCGTATATATGACTGTGCACTGAGATATATCATGACCATGAGACTTGGAAAGCCTGGAAAGTCTGACCGGTACTAGAAGCATATATGAGCATTGACAGTAGAGGACCTGTCAAAATTGATGACGTTTCATGATGGAGAGGAAATATTTTGTAAATATGTGAACTAATGGCCATTGCTAAACAGGCCCTTCCGTGCATGTGGACCGCAGAATTTGGGTGACAAAGATGTGAATGCACAAATAACCAATGTTCATTTGGGGAACTGGCACTTACCACAAACCACACACATGTAGAAAACAGACTGTCCACTTATGCTTTCGTTTACCAATTATCACCAACCATGGGACATTTGAACCTTTTAAAATCGACACACGGAAATTGCAGTGTTAAAGGTGAACTAAGTAACTTTTTTACCTTAACCGAACAGCTTTGGAGTCATTGTAATGTTTATATTACTGATTTCGTGTTGAATGGTGGTCGTCTCGCACCCCCCTGGTGCCTGTGAGCCGCAAAACCACCCTTGCAACTTTGGGCCTCAGTGTTAGGAAGTATCGTGTGATATCAGGTCTCGCGAGGTAACGAATTGCTTTACGGCAAAAAACAGATCTGATAAAATTCTGATAAAATGAGCATCAAACAGAAATAACCCGGCGCCGTATACATGTGGTGTTCGAGGCGCACATACAATACAGACTGCCGACAGTTAAACAGGGTGCGCGCAGCTCTTAAAGGGGCCATGCCTTATTTCCACTCGTTACAGCGTCCATCCTACTGAACAGGTACCGGTGTACAGGGGGAGGGGATCCGGCCGTGAGTGCGAGCCATCTCTGCGTGAGTGCTATTCACGACAGTACAAGTACTCCACAGCGACTCTAGGGGTCGCTGTTTGACAAAAGCGGAATTCCTACTTAGTGCTGCTTTAAAGATGTACAGTGTGACTAGAATGTTACAGGAAGTTGTTTAGCAGCAGATAACCAGTCATAAACTAAAAAGAGTTTGTCTCTTTAAATATGAATGCCCTTTGCTTTGTACAGTCACATGTATACAGTTTGTACAGTTTCATTCGCTTGGTCTGAATTCAGAATCTGAGGAGAGCAGTTAAAGCAATCACATTAACTAAAGTCATAAACCTATTTCCACAGAAGTTAAATAAACACTTTATTCATTATTATTAATTAATTTTTTTATTCAGATGAGCTCATTAGCCCATGGTTTAGAAATGTACAGTTTAAAAAATGTCAGAACCCTAACAAGGAACGGTAACATAACAGGTTAACTCTTTCAGTTGTGAAAAGACCATTTGGTACGAACTCATACTAGTCATAATACCTAAATAGCTTTTTAGGGATTGATGTGTTGTAGAAATGTGCATTTTTGTGAAAAATGAAAAATTACATTTCACTTCCATGGCGGTACATAAGAATGGATAGTTTAATTTAACTGTAATAACTTAATGTAAATAATAAAAACAAATAAAAGGCATTTGAGCTGCGTTCTGTCCAGGCGAGATATGACAGTTTCCAGCAACAATCAGAAGATATCTGAGGTTTAATGAAAAGCTGTGTGGTACAGGAGTTTGGACCAATAAGATTGCACCGTGTACGGGGCTATACCCAGCTGCCAAAACTGAAACCAAGCGATCAGGGTTGGGTAAAACCTACTTTACGGAAGAGATTTGATTTCTTCGCTTTAGCACATCATCTGGTTAGTACAAGGTGTTAGAGGAAAGGCTTCTGTGTAGTGTAAAAATACATTTGAACATATAGTATGTTTACAATTCAGCTGATGTAGAAAGTTCAAACAATCATTACACAATGCATGTCTGCTTTCATACCCACTCTCGAAGCTACTGATATCACCTTAAATGTTTCATTCAAAAACATGTTTCATTCTTTAAAATACATTTGCTTTTACCATATTGGTCATTGTAAAGAAGCATTTATAAACTGTGTTTGAAGTTATCTGCAGATAAAGACTTGATATTGGTCTAGACAGCAGTCTCATTATATGCTTTACAGGGCCACTGTTCAGGAAATATTTAATCTGAAGAGGTTACTGCGGAACTGTCCCACCTCAAGGCCTTCGGGTTAACCCCAGTAGACATTTGGGGCCAATTTAAGTGGGATAACTTATATTATTTATAATTACTAGCCCTTAGCCTTACCCTAAAGTGCTACTTTATTTCAACCCTGTTACAGCCTTTTTTTTTAAAAAGTGTCATTTTTTTATCATTTCAAAAAAATTACTCTTCCATATTCTGGTAATATACCTCAGTTTTGTTGTGGCTTTAAATAAATTGCATGATTTGTATTACACTGAGGAAAAATAATAATAACCCATGATTATTATTTTGTTTTAGCCCTGTTACAGAGTTAAAATGTGTAATAATAGCCTTAAGCAAATATCACTGAACAACACCACATTATTTGCAATGCTTTATGCCAAGAGTAATATTTTTATCCAGGAACAGTTGAACTATTCTAATCACTTGTTCTTTTTTTTTTTTTTTTAAGGGATATATTGCAGCGTAACAGGGTTGAACATGTGCAGGAAGAAAGACAAATCAGAAATTATTCTCAGAAAATACAAATAATTGAGCAAAACTACAGTATGTAGTGAAAGCATGACATTTTAAAAAAGTGACATTTTGTTTTGTTTTGTTTTTCTATAAAAAACGAATGGTGTTGAACGGGAACGTTCAAATTGTCTGAATTCAAATCACTTCAAAATAGAATTGTTTCATTATAAACATGTTTGAATTACAGACTAAACCTAATAAATAATGTGAATAAATGGAGTATCTTGTCAAAGGATCACATTTTTCCTGAGAGTGACCCTCTAACAGTGTGTGTAATGTTCTGGAGGATATAGGAAGCTCAATCAACTATACCTCTTTGTATAATCTGTATAGTCAGTGGCGGTTCTAGAGGGGGGGCCAGGGGGGCCCGTGCCCCTGTGACAAAAAGCTTGGCCCCCCTTGTGGCCCCCCTAAATGTGGAGTTTGAAATAATTTTTACAAAACTGTTTTTTTGCTATCGTATGCGTATTATTTTTTATTTTTCTATCTTTGTGGATTTGCATTTTCACGTGACAATTCGCATCACATTCGCGGGAATCGCGGCAGAATAACGTCTGTCTCCTGCACGCGAGAGAGGAGAGAAGAAAGTTGGTAAATGTCAGTTCAGTTGTAAGTTAATTCTTTATGTGCGTATGGGGTGTGCGATGTGTATTGTCTATTATGATATTGTAATCATTGCTTTAACTATGTACGAGGCACTGTGAGCTGACATAGCATTTGTCTATCGTCCTTTCACTGCTATGTGCAGTTCATAGGTAGGCTATATGTCCCCAAATTATTTTTGTCTTATATTTATATCATATTATGTTCTTATATTAGAATATCGCATCAGCAAGAGTGCCGTTTTCCCGTGCACAATTGCAACTGTGATATTTATGTTATACAACAGTTAAATTAACAATAAGTTAACATTGGGAGTTACTTTTTAGACACAATATTGTCAATATTGTTTGTTTTCCCTTTATTTCGCCGACTAGAATTTCATAATGAAACCGTAGTGAGTCTCAATGCAACACAGCAATGATTTATTGACTGAAATCCGCGTTTTGAACGAATCACTTGCTTCTTTCCCGAATAAATCAGCCGTTTGAACAAATCGTTTGAATGAATGAATCCCTCTTACAGGGACTTGCCGCCGCCTACTGGCGGTTTTAGTTTCATATTTAAAGTATCCTTTAATTAAAACGTTAAAATTAGAAATAATTGCATTTTTAAATATTGATTTTAAAAAAATCTCATAGCTTTATTTATGCAATTGTAAATGGAGTGTAAATATATTAATGCCACTTCTGTGTCACCTCTGCACTGCAAAGATGGATTTTGATTGAATTAATTAATTTGACTGGTAACAGTGGTACTGTATAATTATTGCATAATTAAGTATTATTGTATAAATAAGTATAATTACTGTATAATTTGAATGTTAGTATTTGACATAAAAGGTGATGCATAACTCTAAATAAGTTTAGAAAAAATGTCCATAGGTGAAAATGCCCCTGGAAATCAATTTAAGGTGGCAAATATTGCCCCTTAATTAAAAAATGTATTGCTGTCACTGCTGTGAACGGACCACTGCATAGAATATGAAAAATATTAATATCTTCGTGAGTCAGCTGTCAACAACAGGCCTAAACCAGCCATGGCACCAGCACAAAAACACAATCAGTAAAATATTATCTAATTATTAACAAAATGTTGAAAATATTGAAATATATTTTTGTCAATATTGCACACCCCTAATGTACGGTATTAATTTTGATTTCTTTAGGTCTTAAAAAGCCTTAAATTTGACTTTAAAAAGTGTGCAGGAACCCTGTAAACGGTTAGACATATCAAGTCAGTTATTTTCAGTAAATGAATTAGCTTCTTGGTCCCCATTGCTTTTGCTCTATAGTTCTCAAAATGAAGAGAAAGAAGGACATCATGTCTATTACAGTTACTGTGACTAATACTGAATATGTAATGCAAATGTAAAAATATAATGGAAATGCAAATACATTGTTGAATGATTATAAACACGGTATTATGCCTGTTAATGCCTGCAGCAGTGCAGAAAATGATATGACAACAATAAGGTCTAAATGTAACTGGCCCCTCTAACAGTACAACTGGCCCCAGCTTGGCCCCCCCAGTTGAAATGGGCTAGAACCGCCACTGTGTATAGTGGCTGTGTAAATTCACGTCTAACGTTCGCTAAAAGCGTGCAGTGTCTGGCATGCATGATGTGAATCTGATGCTCTGTAATGATGTGATGTTTTGTGTATTTATGTTTCTTTGCACAGTGTTGTACAGTCGATTCTGCTTCGTGCACATTGGGTTTGTTCATGCAGTGTTGACTCAAGCTAGAAACAATGGACACTTAGTAAAGAACACAACACCCTGTCCAAACAAACATTTGTCTTTGTCGGTTTCTTCAGG